TCCTAACAACTCTTTTACAAGACATCCTCGCGTGCACTGATTGAAACCACCAATAGAAATGACAAATACAGACGGACCCGGATGTGAAACATTTTCCTCATTTTCTTTAAGGGAGGCGTATAATGCTTGCCGCCCAGAAATATGTAACGACCATAAGATATTGCGTATACCATATCCTCCGGCTTGATTATGAAACTTATAAAACCTCTAAGTTATGCAAAAGGATTCAGGCTGGAAGTGCCTATTTGAAATCCCAGGCTTGAGTTTTAAGAGAAGTTGTGTATTCAAGGGTAAGAATGAACTCTCCCCTTGTCCTTGATGTGTAAGATACTCGAGCTATTAGAACTATGAGAGGCCAACCATCAATTAGTCCCTTAACATAGTATCCAACATGGATAGCAGAGAGATAATCAAGTACCCCTGGCTTCGTACTGTCTTATAATGTACTACTTTTTAGATGAATACGACAATTACACATGTCCACCGCCACCAGTGTTTCTAACTTGCTATGAGGTTTATTCTTGAGAAATACCATCGTAAAGTGTCCTACATCTCCAACCATACAGTAACCTTCCCATGCTTGCTTTTCGGAACCACTTTCCTGTCAGTTTTCCGCACTATAGATCCTAATGTGAAACCCGTTGTATCATTAAGCGACATATCAAGTGAATAAACATCATTTTTACTATTCCTGATTGATTGTAACGTCGTCTCTCCCCGGCCACCACCTGACTGGCATAAATATTTTTCGCTAAGAACACAAACGTGAAAAATAACGTCTCAGCTGTCTTGTTCTTATCATCAAGGCTACTTGTCATGGGCAGTATAATAATAATCGAAGGGCTGAAAACGGCTTCGGGGACTGTTCGGAGCTCAGGAGGTTCTATAAATGACCATAATCAGCCTGTCTAGACCGCCTGTACGGGAACTAGAACTCGGTCATTGGGCTGGTAATTAACACATAAATGTAGCGTGAACCTATCTGGATTCTGATGAATCAACAAACAAATCGGGAAAAACGAGTAAATAAATCAAGCCCCTGAATATCGATCAGTCTGGTCGAATAGCTAATGTTAGTTTAGTGAACTATTCTCAGCAGAATTAGGAGTTTAGGATGTTGGTTCAACCCGAGATACATATAACCACCGAGATATCTTGAAAACACTTGCAGAAGTCCGATATTTCGAAAGGTATGTCTTCAGACTGCAGCCAGTACTAATCATCATAAGTAGCAGATTTGACGTACCCCATAAACCCTACCAACCTCGCCATGATAATGCAAATATCCTGCAACCTTCAATACGCCACTTATTGCTATATTATAGAACAGACCATTAGCAAAGAAATCTTGAAACATTGCTATCAATGAGGGTGATTTTGGTTGCACTTCCAAACATGCTAAAACCGGTTCCACTGTTTTTTTTTACTACGGCCCGGTTCTAGCGAGGATTCGAGTCCACCACTTTTCATGTTTGATAGCCTGTGCGGAGACGTTTTGAATACGCCACAATAAGCCACATTGTGCCTTCTCATTGACGGGTCACAAGTAGACCGAGCCTCCGCGCAGAGCAATAGGATTATCCCTTTTCTCATTGGCATGCTTGGCATTGTGGTGTGGTTGAATTTTTCACACGATGAAATTGCGGATCTTACGGGGTGTCGGACAGACCCGAAAGCATGTTCTAAGGTTGAATTTTCTCACAAACCAAATATTGGATTGGGAACCTGGGGTCAAATTGCGCTAAATATCTGTTTTAAGGTGCAACCAAACTCACTGTAAGATACAACCCGTGACATTCTTTTGTAACAACCATTTACGCAGCAAGCTATTTATTCTATACTTGAAATAACTGACATAATTGCGCAGTTTATTGGGGAAGATGTGATATCAGTAGTATGAAGCCCACGCCTCCCGTTGGGGACTTGAAAAATAGTCTATATGACTAGTCATCTCTTATCACTCGAGACCCAACTGGAATCACAATGTTTCCCTCCTCAGTTGGTTATTCGATGATATATTTGTACATATAAATTATCAAATAATGAATATCCAAATGTCATTATAGCAGGGATTGTAGTGGGAAGCAGAGGACGGTGATGAAAAGTTTAAAAATATATAAACTCATCTTTTATGCCATGGACTGGTTCGTCTCTTGCTTGGGGTAGTGCCGATTTGGCTGGGTTATATGATATTTGATTTGCAGAAGTCCAACCGAAGAATGTATTTGTTTCAGAATGTGATTGGTAACTCCTTAGAACAAACTAGCTAGAGCCGGGTCCACTTTTGTTTTCACAACGGCTCAGTTTTAGCGAGGATCCAGCCCTGTGGTACAAAAAAAAGGTGTTTAATCAAACCACACTTTAAACCACAAAAGGTGTTTATTTCAAACACCCGCAAAATTCATTTACTAAACACCTCTTTCAACACCTACTAAACACCTTTAAACACCTACTAAACACCTCTTTAAACACCTACTAAACACCTCTTTAAACACCTACTAAACACCTCTTTAAACACCTACTAAACACCTTTAAACACCTCTTTAAACACCTACTAAACACCTTTAAATAACGATTTAAACACCGATTTAAACACCTTTAAACACCAATCTAAACACCTACTAAACACCTTTAAACACCGTTTTAAACAGCTACTAAACACCTTTAAACACCGATTTAAACACCTTGAACACCGATCTAAACACCTTTAAACACCGATTTAAACACCTACTAAACACCTTTAAACACCAATTTAAACACCTTGCACAATAGTGGTTTGATCAAGCACCTCAGATATTTTTTAAATTTTTCAAATTAATTACTAAACCACTCGCTCATTATATAACATGTCTCTAGCTATTGCCAGGTCCTCTATCTATACATACAGGAACCTCCCACCTCCCTCCTCACCCCTCCTACTCCTGCTCCTCCTCTCTGTGTTGTACCATTCGCTTTGTGCCTTTTTTAATTGACCCTTACATATGCTGGAATCATGGATCGCTTCAATAAATAGACTTAGGTTTTCTGAGCATCCTGTTTGTCTGGTTAGCATTGTGGATATTTGTGGGGTTGGTTTGCAGTACTTGACTCAGCGAGTATCTAGAAGTTCATATCCCAATTCCCCCTCTCTCTCTCTTTTTTCCCTCCGGTGGTGTATGGTGTATGAACTAGCAAATTCTGTTGAGGGACAAACATTTGACATGAGGAAAAACTTACAGCCAAACAAGAGGGAAAGATGGAGGTGGAGAAACAAGTGAATGAAATGGATGAAGAACGAGGAACAACAACGGCAGAACGAACAGAACATAAGGAAGGGATGCGCACTAAGGCAATATCCACTTCCATCAACAAACAAAAACAGAACACAGCTCTACAGGTTAAAACTGAATGTTCAGTAGAACACTGCAGGGTGATTTATATGAACCATGGAAACGCCATCCCTAGGAAGTGGACTGTAGATGTTTATTTAAACGTCAGAGGATAGTTCAAATAAACCCCGAAGAATAGGCGAAGAAGAAGGTGTTTATTTAAACACCCCTAGGGTGTTTAAATAAACCCCAAAGAATATGTAAAAAAGAAGGTGTTTGTTTAAACATCCTTAAACACCCCTAGGGTGTTTAAATAAACACCAAAGAATAAGCGAAAACAGAAGGTGTTTATTTAAACATCCTTAAACACCCCTAGGGTGTTTAAATAAACACCAAAGAATAAGCGAAAACAGAAGGTGTTTATTTAAACATCCTTAAACACCCCTAGGGTGATTTATATGAACCATGGAAACGCCATCCCTAGGAAGTGGACTGTAGATGTTTATTTAAACGTCAGAGGATAGTTCAAATAAACCCCAAAGAATAGGCGAAGAAGAAGGTGTTTATTTAAACACCCCTAGGGTGTTTAAATAAACCCCAAAGAATATGTAAAAAAGAAGGTGTTTGTTTAAACATCCTTAAACACCCCTAGGGTGTTTAAATAAACACCAAAGAATAAGCGAAAACAGAAGGTGTTTATTTAAACATTCTTAAACACCCCTAGGGTGTTTAAATAAACACCAAAGAATAAGCGAAAAAAGAAGGTGTTTATTTAAACATCCTTAAACACCCCTAGGGTGTTTATCTAAACACCGAAGAATAAGCAAAAAAGAAGGTGTTTATTTAAACATCCTTAAACACCCCTAGGATGTTTAAATAAACACCGAAGAATAAGCGAAAAAGAAGGTGTTTAAATAAACCCCACAAAAAAAAAAAAAATCAAGGTAGTTGTTTAACTAAACAACGCTAGGTGGTTTAGCTAAACACCTTAAATCACACTAAACAACTTCGGTGTTTAGGGGTGTTTAACTAAACACTTTGAAACAACGATGGGTGGTTTAGCTAAACACCTTAAATCAGACTAAACAACTTTGGTGTTTAGGGTGTTTAACTAAACACTTTCGGTGTTTAGCTAAACCACGAAGGTGTTTGAACTAAACCACTCTCACTCGTTTTCTTGTACCATAGGGCCAGTTCCACCAGCTTTTCGTGTTTGTTCACCCGCGAGAAAACCTTTCCAATAAGCCACAACAAGCGACATCCCGCCTTCCTTTCGATGGATACCCGAGAAAATAGAGCCTCTGCACCAAGTAGCAAGATCATTTACGTTATACATCGCAAACTTTATTGTGCCATTTGACGTAACGCTTCGACATTCGCTACATCGCCTCTACATCCACAGCTTGCAACTTTCCTCAACAGCTCCAAATATGCAGCATTCGTTATTACAGCATGGAAATATGACATGTCATTCCCCGGCTTTCTACACCACGAATGAAATTAGAAAGTTATGCAGCAATGGAATTTTGGGTAGGTACAACTTATTAGACAGCGTTATGGAAAAACTAAACGGTAAAAGGGGATTCAGTGGATCTTGCGTAACGAATAAAATCACAGAAAGATCAAGTGAAACTCACGTGTGAAGCCATTATGCTTCCTCAGAGTTCATCAAAAAAGAAGAATGCAAAAATATGGGCTCGATGGGACTCGAACCCACATACAGCCCCTAAACATGTCAAGTGGCCGTGTTCTACCAATTGAATTACGAATCCAAGCGATGAAAGAGCACATTAAAATTGGGATATAGTCCGCTGCTGGCTAGACGGACAAAGAGCGGTTCTCAACGGTTCCGGTGGTTGAGGATACCGGTAGAAGAATCTGTGATGTCAGTAGTTCCAGATGGCAGAGCTGGGTGCTGTTGTTGTCATGAGCCTGACTGATCATTTTCTTTCGTTGCTATGGTTCTCCAGAGATGGAAATTAACTTCTCATCTCATCAAGCTAGGCCTGTGTGACGGCAAAATCTGTTGTAAAAATCTATCTTTTGAATATCTCTCGTTCGTCGTATTTTGTGGGCATCAATTGAAGTAAGTGAAGGTTCTACTTCACATGCGTTCATTATCAGCTTTTCACACCGTATTCTGGTTGTCCGAGGCCTTCTCATTCCACGATGATTTATCATAAGTGTCGCCCAACGGGTCATATTTTCCCGGAGAATCCAATAGTCCTATATCTTTTTAGTAGAAAAATGGTTTGTATCGTACGATCTAATTTGAAGGTTGAGGCAGTCAGGAAGACAAGCCGTAGATAAGAGACGAACCCACCGTTAACTAGGTCCTATCAACAAAAAAAAGGCTTCCCGCGGGATGGGGGATAGCGATAGTCCTGCATCCTCGATTTACACATTTACGCAATTGCTCTTCATGCACTGAATATGATATGTATGTCCAATCGTGGTACAGGTTGAAGGATAGTGGTGAATATAGGCACCCAGTCTCAGCTATGTGCACATGGCGGGATTTATCTGAAGTTGTGTTTTGACACAGGTTGTTGTTTTCGTACATTTTCAGATAATCGGCCTGGAAAGTCGAATTGATTACAGTTTTAAGATTGATTACCTTCTTACTGGAGTATATCTTGCTCGGCATGTGAATTGGGATATTGCCGGTGATATTGATAGGACCTGCTGCAAGTAATTGCCATGCTTCTCCGTAACGGCACGTAAGTTAACCCTAAGCAACCCCTCCCATGGTTGAACATGTATACGGAAGAGCAAAAATATGTCATCCGAAATATGGATGTGGATCGGCTGGTAGTAGACACGAGGACGTTGCAAGGGATGAAGCTAGTTCTACTGGAGGACTTCCCATCGCTCTATTGGGGGTGGATAGAACAACCTCAACTTCATCTATTCGATAGCAATAGAAAATCTGAATAGACAGGGGGGTAGCGACCCCCCTGTCTATCCTAGTGCTCTATTCGCGTTCTATAGAAAATATTTTTTTGTGGTGAAATGGACTCTCACGTCCGTTGCTATAGAGCGATGGGAAGTCCTCCACTGTTGCATAACGCGTCTATGTTACGTTAATATGTGCTAATATCTATCCAATCTTCTCGTAAAATTATACTGGTAACTGATTTCTCCACCAATAAAAAACTAATTCTATATTTCTTCTGAATATCTTCAGGGCTTCAATAATGTCGACCCATCATTGCGCCTTCTCCCAAAACTATGCATTTCGCACACCTAGCAGCCTTTGTACCTGAACCCCCTGGTCTGCCTTCACCCAAGAATCCTCCTTTACCCCACACATCATACAAATGTGATCATCACCATTCTTCTGCAACTGATTATTATGTTCGACCAGTTCCACATTCTCTTGCTTGATATATCTAACCTCTTCTTTCAAAACCTGAATTTCTTCTTTCGCTTTTTGAAGGTCTGCATAATATTCTGCATTTTGAGATTCCAATAAATCGTACCTTTCCTCTGCATCATCACTTAGTTCCAAAACCTCGTTTAGATCTTCTTGTAGCTCTTGCTTCTCTTTTTCGACCTTTTGGAGGTGTAAAATCAGAGCTTCTCTCCCTAACTCATGGCGAGATGGCTCAGGATCACGCTCAGTAGTCTCGACATAATTATGAGCTGCTTCTATACATGGTAGTAGGGGTTGTTCGTCCTGCTCGGTACCGGAGCAATTGTCGGGAGAACCCTCGGTTTGAGAATTTGGCGAGGTCATTGCAGTTTGCTGGTGTAAATCGTACTAGCTGGTACTTACTATATGCTCAAAACACATCATGGATGCAAGATCGATGCATTTATAATCCAGTTCTTACTACATTATATGACCAGTGGCATTATAGTACTCTCTAAACTCCACTTCAAGTCGAGTTAGAAAAGCTTGGGTGAACTCTGTGCAGTCTGGTTGCTTCGAACTAAAACTGACCTCCACTTGAAGAAACCTGAAAGAACTGATGTTTCAACTTTCAAGCTGATTTTGAGTTTACTCTTTTTGTGTTTTGCCTCGTCTTGTGCTTTGTGTTTAAAACCTTTGTTCAATACCAATGTAGAAGAGTGATAATGAGTGTTCCGCCCGCCTTCTGGGAGGATCACTGCCTCTGTGAATGGAGTGCGAATACAGTACATGCCAGTGATATTTTCCATATTTATTTATTTATTTATTTATTGAATCATACGCTGACCGAGGCCTAAAAGGCCCATGCAGGAAAAAACAACAAATATTTTTCCATATTAATGAAATGAATATACCTGCATTTCTTTTTCAAAACCAGAACACAAGGCTGGGAAATATGAAGCTAGCGAGCATCCACAAGCAACACGTGATACAACCCGTATTCACGTCATACATCATGATCCGTGGTGTACCGTCTGATGCTAGGCATCAAAATTGAGCAGATCGTATTTTCGAAATTTTGCGTTTGATGAAACAGTTAACCAACGATTTGGTGTATCCAAAAGGACAATGTAGAAGGTTACGATACTGTTTTCCTGCATAACAGATGAAATGCCAAAAATTGTAATAACCACGTGTGGAGTTGGTACGGTACACCTTATTGGACTGCGCTATGGAAAAAAAAGAGGGCAATAAGATGGGTTCAGTGGGACTCGAACCCACATCCGGCCCCTGAGCATGCTAAGTGACCGTGTTCTACCAATTGAACTACAAACCCAGGTTGTGAAATGGCGTGTTAAAATTAAAATATGAAGCATTACTGGTTAGACGAGAAAGAACGGTTCTCGGTGGTTGTGCATGGCGGCGCAAGTCCTACTATGAAGGATGTACAAACACCTGAACCACCGCTACCATTGTCACGTTATTCTTGGGCGATGCAAATGTCAGCTAGCATTAAAATAAATATCAAAATCACAAAGCCGAAGAAACCTCAGGTACAGGGAAAAAGAAATTAGTGTTAACCATTGTAGACACCGCAAGAAACTCCCGTCAATTATCAAAATAAAGTCGCCACCATGAAACAAAATATTGTTTTTTAGTTTACATGCCGACCTTCATTCCCGTATTAATTGTGGCAGGAATCCTGAATGCTTTCAGACGACCCTTTGAATCAAGGAAAACCACCACACCGGCTGATGGAAACAACAACCTCCAAATCTCGCACACAGAACCACTGACATCATATCTTTCTCCTATCGCCATCCCAGATCGCCACCAGCACCGAGAACCGCTCGTCCTCCGTTAAAACAGCAGCGGATTACATTTCAATTTGAATGCGCTCTTTCACAACATGGGTTTGTAGTTCAATTGGTAGAACACGGTCACTTAGCATGCTTAGGGGCCGTATGTGGGTTCGAGTCCCACCGAACCCATTCTTTTTGTCTGCTTTTTTTATCGCAAGAAGTCTGAAAAGGTATACCTACACCACACGTGACGGCACCGAACTTTTGATGTTATTGATACCGTAGGAGAACGAGATTCTAACCTTCTACACCCTGCTTCATAAAACACTGCACCCATAGCGAAGTATGTGGAATTACCATTTTCAAGATACGGCGATCAGGTGGTCTACCTACCACACATATCCCGAACGTTTGATTTTATCGGTAGCGCACGAGAACAAAATTCCAATGTTTAAAGGTTGAAAACTTGGCATTATTATAGTCAAATCCTTCATGCTCATACTTACCATATGGCCGATGTTGATACGTGATATCCGTCGGTGTAAGTAGGATCGCGATGTATGACGTAAACGAGTATGTTGTCACGTGATGGCGTTTTAATACTCCCTAGCAGTACCTACGTATTCGTAGTTTGTCGTATTGATTAATGTGAGTATATCTGTGTCCTCTATAGATACTGCAATAGGAGTTTCGTACGCTGCAATACAATCCGCGCACGAACATAGTCCATATCGCAGGAAGCGTTGAGAACATGTAGTATCACTCGCTCACATTCGCATTGAAATTGGCCGCAGACATGGAAATCAAATACAATTTCAGTTCTTCACGTTGAGACACATTTGGAATTTGGAGCATAAGTGCAAGATGAATTTATTAAGATGTCGCAAGGCCGGAAATGTCGTTTCAAACCAGAACTGGAGGTTGGCAATGTAAATGAGGATCTCAACTGATTTGTGGCGCTGAAATATTTTGGTTATTGCATATTTTTACCGATTGCAGATCATACTACTCATGTCTTCTTCAATATATATTATTTATAACGTTGTAAATATAATGTGTAATACGTGGCACCGGGAATACTTTGACTAATCATAGCCAGAAGATTCCCAAAATATCTCCCGTCGTGCATACAGTTTATTGGGCTTTGAAACCAGCTGGAATATATGCACTGGCTACATGCAAAACTCTATGGCGATATTCTGGCTCAGGGGAAATCAAGGTTTGTTTCAAACTGGAGCGGTTTCAAGATTGCTCGAGTCGAATGTAGTTTTCAGTTGAAACAATCTCAGTGCACAAAGTTATCTCGAGCTTATCCACTCGACTTGAGCTGATCTTTTCTTAGTGTCCTTGACTATAGAAAGTAGCACAAGCAGGGCCCAGACCATTAATGAACCGACTTTGCGTCCCGTGAGTTTTAAGCATATAGGAAGCATCATATAATATTAAGTGCACTATGTGCACTTGTGTAAATGTAGTATGGAGGACCTTATCCTTATCCTTATCCTCCTCAATGCTGGAAGTCTGTTAAAAATTCATAGAATTTAGTTACCGACGGCTTTGTCTGCTGTTTGCTGCGTGTTATTTCGACTTGCTTAAACTGCAAAGTATCGTGGTAACTGCTGTTAAACCTAATGAATTATATCTGGGACACTCTATCGTGGTGCTGGATTTACTGTTACCGATTAGAAGCGTGTTTAGTATTGTGGAGCAACAATATAGACACCCTAGTCCGTCAACGAAGATAACAATCAATGTACCGCTGTGCTAGATAGGGTATAAGATGGTAATACATTACAAATCATTTTTTGTCAAATAGATACAGGATTGTTTGATTCTTAGAGGAAAATATAACACCTTGGGCGATAAGCATAGTAAACCATTGTGGAATGAGAGGGGCTCTCACAATCTGGATACAGCATCGAGGGATAGTAATGAACGTATGCTAAGTAGGACCGTTATTTATCTTAATTGATTCACACGATATACAACGCACAGTAGCTACTCTCATAAAACATTATTGCTACTGATTCTACCATTCCTTCGGCATGGATTTGTGAGCGAAGGAGTCAGTCGAGGTGCCCGGAGCACCATACATACGAAGAACGAGGGAAAAGCATCATTCCGGCTCATGGAAAAGACACCGACCAAATCCCGCATGTGGAACAAGGTACCACTGACATCACATCATTTTCTACCGCCAGCCCAGACCGCCACCATCACCGAGAACCGCCCTTTCTCCGCTCAACCAGCGGCTGGTTATATTGCAATTTTAACACGCACTTTCACAACCTGGGTTTGTAGTTCAATTGGTTAGAACGAGGCCACTTAGTATACTTAGGAGCTTCATGTGTGTTCGAGTCCCACCAAGCCCATTTTTTTGCATTCTTCTTTTTTGATTCACTCTGAGGAAGCATAATGGCTTCACACGGGAGTTTCACTTCATTTTTTTGCGATTTTATTCGTTACCCAAGATGTAGGACAGGAAAATTTGAAATTTTTATACCCTGATACTTAATGCAGAACATTTATGTTATCGAAGTGAAGTCAAACGTCGTTAGGTTTTGCGGTGATGTGGCGGGTGTTGATGCGTGATATCAAATGGTACGAGACGGATGGTGATGTATGACGTCAATGCGGGCGGTATCAGGCGATGGCGACTAATGCACACTAAATTGATAACCGTACGGAACAGTTATTTTCTTTGTTGATTTGGGTGAACTGGTTCTATAGGAAAATTAGAAAACGACTTATATATGCCGTCATGACATGAACAAAAGTAAATCGTGATGTATGACGCAGTGGCACGTGATATCATATGATTGTCTTCCACCCTATATTGGTCTTGCCTTATGATAAGACTTCACAATTCTCGCTCCATGTCCATTTGGAATACAGCAGATGATAAAACATGTCTCATAAGCTTTCTGGGCCTGTGATCATGCATATAAGTGGCAGTTATTAACAGCGCATAGTATCGATATCCCAAAATTCACGTTTGATACATTTTTTGGATCAACGGACAAAACAAAGTTTCTTTATCGTTATGTTGCGAGCATTATTTTGCATCACGTGATACCACCCGCGTCCACGTCACACATCACCGCCTGCCTGACGTCGTGACGTCAAGTGTAAACATTGAATTATCAAAAATTTGCTATTTCAGTAGCCTTCCGTTTCAAGATTCAAAACGATTGACAAGTCAACCCATTGTGATGATCGATTCAAGTTCCACACCAATTCCGACGAGTGATACCACATGTTCCGATTGTCTTCCCAGAATATTACCAATTGCATGGAGTGTATTACAGCGCATGCAAATTGTATTCTGAATATTCGTGAAGCTAAATTGATCACAGAGACAAAGAAAACAAATTACGAATATGTAGCCAGCGAGCATCAACATATCGTTCCTCTTGGCTAGGCATGCACACGAGACGAGCGGCTCAAGACTGAAGAGACTGGATTTCCACAAGACGAGATGTCTCGAAACCTTTTTTTTTTTCAAAAGCACGAGATTATCTCGAGACTTTTCGAGACTTATAGATTATATACTTTACAGGGCAGAAATATGTGCGATCACGTTAAATATGTATTTTTTCCTTCTCCGCTAATTGGTCTTCAGGTAAAGTTGTTACCAAGAGTAAGAAGAGGCTTCTTAGTAGAACTGCCTCGACAGTGCGTGCTTCTCATCAAAAGCTAGCATAAAATATCGGAGTCTGAGGATTAGAAGGTGTCCAATGAGGAAGAGCATGAGGATTGGGGCAGATAATATTCTGCAGAATTGTTCCTTAACTTCTAGTTTCATGAGAAGATTTTTTTCGCTTAAAGTCGCGAGACTGACGAGACCGAAATCACACGAGACGAGATGTCTCGAGCCCATTGACGGTCCCCTCTCGCCTCGTCTCGTCTGCATCCCTACTCTTGGGAAGTCCTACTATGTAACTAGGTGAACAATCACTTCGATTTGTCCCTTGCAACACCGCACAGTATCAGAATTGAATCTACCCTCCTTTTATATTAACCATTCTCGGAGAAACCTTAACGTGTCCAGAAAACTTACACAACATACTTCGCCCTGCAACACTTCTGCGTATCATAGTATTAATTACTCTATTCATTCGCGTACAATCTCAGACATATGATTTGGTCTGTTGTGACGCCGAATGCTGGAAGGTACAAGACACGTCGCGATGTATGACGTAAGTGCGGGTTGTATCACGTGATGATGGCAAATGCTCCCTAGCTGCATGACCGTGTAGAGGGTCTTTTTCTTTGTGAATTTCAGAAAATATGAATCCTTGCTGGCTTTTATACAACTCTTCTGCGCTGAAATCCACTCCTACTAAAGTACGATGTACGTACTCACCTCCCCGCAAACACGATTGCCGAACACATCGAATCACTCGGTGTTATTCTCATTGAACACGGAATTACTCTGGGGTATCCAACGACGTGTCTCTGAGTTAAAGCTCAAAAATATATGTGGTTTACCTAGAAGGTGGCGCATAAATGAATTTGGAAGTTATATGGTAATTTACTAGCGACCCGGAACCTCGCATAGGATCAATACTTTTACAAGATTATGAGGTTTCTCTGCCTGTCATTCACTATCGTAATGAGTTGTCTATCCAAGCACTTGGTACCATAATAACAACTTCGCTGCAAGTGATCTGAAGCTGTTGATGACATGCTTAACCTGTTTGATACCTAGACACTTATTCTAACAGACGAGGGGTGAAGACTGCAGGCATCCATCATTTTTTCTAGGGACACTGCGGACATTATGCTTCGGTGGTACGCTCTCTACTAAGAAAATAGGTCCTCCGCCTGCTGTAGAGCATTTCCAATCAATGTCGTTCTGCTATGTTTCAAACTTCTTTTGTAAAACGCTAAGAGATTCCTTAGACAAACTATAGGACGCATATATCCATAGAGATTTTGCACAGAGTTCAGCATGGTCCGTAACACGCATATACGACCAAATCGTGTGTACATTTAGAAGTGTACAATTTGACTCTGTTATGGATATTTCTTCTGCATTCAGTACTGCAGCGCGAAAATTCCAAATCCTCTGACGTGAGCCACGAAGAAAAACGAAAGAGTTCGAGACATTCACGTGTGAAACGATGGTGCCTTATCAGATTGCATTATGAAAAGAAAAGGGCAAAAAGATGGGTTCGATGGGACTCGAACCCACATACGGCCCCTAAGCATGCTAAGTGACCGTGTTCTACCAATTGAACTACAAACCCAGGTTGTAAAATGGCGTGTTGGAATTGAAACATAAGTTGCTGCTGGTTAGACGGATGAAGCGCGGTTCTCGGTGGTTGTGCATGGCGGCGCAAGGAGCTATGATGTCAGTGGTTAAGGGAGCGCTTCTTTCTGTATTGTCCATGTTTATCGTTCATATTCCCAAGCTAGTTATGGTCTGGTTAAAATAGTGAAGACCGACGCCGAAGATATGATACTAATCTCTCAGCTGTATCCCCCTCACGTACATTGAACATTACTTATAACCGGATAGCTCAATCGGCGGCGAGGTTACTGCAGCACAATCCGAATGCAAGGCGGATGATGGTCGACTATCATTATATATTCTCATGTCGCTCTCTCTTAAACAATTACCCCGAATACTCACGGAAGCATCAACCATACTGTTCTCGTTTGCTATATTGTGGTAAAAGAGAAGTTGCTCCGAGCCTCCAGTACAGTCTCTCAATCACATCTAGCTCCAGTACATGTGGCAATAACTAAAACTGGACTGGGCAGTCTGGTGTGAGATGTCTTTGCTGCAATACTTTGTGCTTCAGTAAAATCCGAACGCTAGTTGGATTATGGTCGACCATGATTCGATCATCAACTGTTGTTCCCTTCCCTTTGACCACCACACTGGAAAAATGCAATCCATTATCCCGGTTCTCTTTTTATGGTTTCACAAATATCACATCGCGTAATGGGGGACCATAATCCTCTTTTCGCTTGGTATTCCTCCTTCCAATCCCACATGGGAATACATAATCAGTTGTTTCACTGTACAGTATCAACTCATGTCTAATCCACGTGAATATCCCTTCCTTTTAAAATTTTCTCTCACCCTATCGAGTATCAAACCCATCGAGGCTGTCTCTACAGTGTAAGTTCAACTCACTATCTACACCACCGTCCTATTTCTTCCTGCAGCTCAATTCAGTTCACAATGATCTTTTGCCTCCATTTATAAATATTCTTTGGATAACCTTTGAGGTTCAAGCCAAATATTACTACACTCGGAAATATTAATGTGGGTGTTGACTACACCATAGTATGCGTGCCGCAGCAATCAGTCCTGGAGTACAAGTAACAAATATTCAAAGCATGAGATAAAGTGACATCTTACAATTGAATAATCTTCCGATGAAGTTGTAAAGGAGATGATTTATCGTCCATCCGGGCTCTATCGGTACCTTGAATTTAAAAAATGATCGGGAGATGGAAATTTTTGGGCTGTATCATCGTAAACTCAGTATCACCTGAATAGGATATTTCAGGTCCTCCTACACTATATAATCCAGGGTTGTTTCTACAATACGACGTGAATGGAATAGTCGTGAACCATAATAGCGAATAACAGGTACCGGGGCTTTAGAAGATTAGGTTTATGGCAGGACTCCTCATTCTATGAGGAATATTGGGCTTTCAGATGATTATGGTATTGCTCCCAGATTCAGGCATTCATAAACCCTTCCTGGAAATCGAGGGATATCACACGAACATGACTGTCGACGCGCACTTGATTCGTGACCGTGTAAATGCGCGGTGACGAATGGCAACACGGCGAGGCCGTTTCTCAAGTATCTATCAAATCTATGTATTGAGATTTATCGGGAATGTTCCTAGTTTTGACTTTTCACGGAATATAGCCTAAAACCAGTTATAAATCTTTTATCTTCGTATATGGAAGTAACGACAAACAAGCGTTGAAAAAAGGGGCGGGACCTACTTCCGGATTTTAATATGGTCGAGTTTAATCGTAATTTTGAAATTGTCAGTCTATTTGACCAAACCATCGAACTCAACACAGATACACACGATTGATACCACATACACCACAGCGTGCTATGAGGGACCATATACGTGTTTGAATGGGAATGCACAAAACAAAATGCGAATGAAAAAAGGCCCATCCTATAAAAAAGACAGAAATACAGTTGGGTATAACAACATCCTATACTTCTGGGTTCTCGGGTTTCACTTCTCGCTTCTCACTGCTCCGTATATAGACAATGATTTCTTACAGGTCCTCCTCTGACCCACCCCCCCCCCCCCCCCCCCCCCAAATGCCATACGCCAATTTATACTCTCTAGCATTCCTTGTTATTTTCATCAGTACTGC